TAAATCCAAATGTTGTTTAGTGGCCTGACATTTGTTATTTTGAATTATGATCTAGTAGTTTAATTTGCATAGCATTTTACAAGTATTTTGAAGAAGGCTTAGTGCTCTCTGCGAAATACAGTAGCCAAGAGAAATGTTTAAGGTGTTGTGATCTTGCCTTTAAAAATGATCTGTGCGATTGTACCGTGTGAGTCAGGTCGCTTTTGTATGTTTGAAGTTTGTACCTAATCAATGAGTAAAACTCGGAGCTTAGCTCTCAGAGCTAGCGTGATGCAAAAGGATGGAAAAGCCACTGGTGATGTGTCTCTCTAAAGCACAGTGCCTTCAGGCTCTGGGGCAGTGCGGCAGAGTGCGCTGGGAGCTGTGCCAGCCTGACCAGTCCTGCCCTGGCATGGCAATCTCAGCTGCAGGTGCGTGGTGGCTAAAAAGTCACGACCTCTGCCCCATCTGTGCCATATTGTGGTGGCGTGATTGCACAAAGTGCTCTTAGATGCTTTGACCGCCCTTGGAAATGGAGTAACGTTGCCAGCAGAGTCACATCTGTTTCTGTAAAGCTGTGTTTGGTTGAAGGCTGGCATTTGCTTGAGTCCACATTCCCACCCTGTCGCCTCCTCCTCCCTTCCTCCTCCCCCCAAAAAAGAAAAAGGTAAATGTTATAATAGAGTCCTCAGGAGGAATAGCTATCAGCATGCTGTGTGTTGGTCTGAGTTCTGAAAGGATGGTTTTAACATGAAGAAACAATTATCTTTCAAGGAAATGAAACTGAAATGGAAATGCTTTACAAAAGTTGCTGGGTTTTTAGGAATTTGCAAGTCACTGAAAGCTCAGGGAATGTTTGGCTTGGGGATGCGGCACCCTTTGTTACGTTAGGGCTGATGGACTCAGTGGTAAGGTTCTCAAGTATTGGGCTTACTCTGCACGTGAAGAGCATGTGAGCAAATGCCCTTTTGGGGCTGATGTAAGAATTTGGCGGAAATGCCTGTAGAAATGTTTGGGATGGAAGATACAGCGTTCAAGGGCACTGCTTGGTTGGCTGCTTCCTTGCTGCAGAGAAGCATTCATTTTGTGAAGGGGCTTGGGAAGTTGCTTTGTGGCGTGTGTGGGTGCAGTGAATGTTTTGTGGAAACTTCTGGACTAAACAGCAATTACGTGGTTGGGAATTGAGCTCAGTAACCTGGGTGATCTCTTCCTGTCCTGCAAGTGTGGCAGGCTGAGTGCATAGTTTTTACTTATTATTGGTATAAATCTTAAAGCTTGGCTTAAATATTTCACCCTTTTAATGCTTCCATGTGAAGTCCCTTTGCTTGCAGGCACAGGGATCATAGCCAATTTGTATCATTAAACTGGTTGTGGTGCAATCAGTCTCGATGAACTTGCTCGCTCTTCTGACCTGTTGAAAGTGACAGACCTACTTCAGTTTCGGAATATATTTTAATGAGATGAGAGTTGAATCAGATGCATTATACATGCACCTGAGTATATTCAGTGTATGTCAAAATAAAGTCAAGTGAAAAATACCAGCATTTTCATGACTGCAAGGAGTGAGTATTTCAAAGAAAAGTAATATTGCTGACACTTAAATCTCAGATTAGGAAAGGAAAGAGAATGAGATAAGTGATTTTACTGAAAAGTTTGATAGTTTTTCCATTCTGCCTTTTTCAGTGTAAAAATACCTCCCTAATACCTCGTTAAGGATGTCCCATGAAGAACGAGTTGTTGTAGTTCGGTTTCTTTTTTTCCTCGAAGATTAAAAAAGCATTGCTTGAATTTACAGTATTCTGTAAACATGCTGGGAAAATGTGTATGTCTGTGGTTGAACAGGGAAAGCCTGCGCCTTCCATCTGCACCTAACCATCACTATCCATAATCCGTGTTTATTTTTAATGCAGTTCTTGCGTGACTTCGAGGTCACCGTCACCTGATAGAAACTGATAGTCTTTGAGCAGAGGCACTGTGATACCCTTAAGAGCAGCAGCATTTCAATCTGTGTGGTTGTAATTCTTATTAGCTGTTCTAGTGTTATCTCTAGAACGCTTGTTCTGAACTGCAGATATGAACATCTGGTGGAAACGATTTAAAATGATTTTAGAAGTTGAAAAAAGCTGTTTTATTACTTCTAATGACAAAAATTATAGGGGGTTAATCTTATGAGGTTTGAGACTTGCTCTTAGAAGCCAAAAGCTGCTTTACCATCTGTGATTTAGCTCCCTGTAAACTCAGGTTATGTTCAAAGATGGTAAAATGAGATATCTGGATTTTAATTCTTTTTTTTTCTTCACATGATCTATAAAGGAATCTCACAGAAGCTTCATCAAATGAGATATTTCTTTTAATGTCACTGTTGAGAACACCATGGCCAACTTCTGTCAGGTTTCTGAATGGATAAGGAAATTAGCTGCCTTATCTAACACTCTTAAACGCTAGGACTAAAGTGGCTTCTGTTCTGACTTCTCTTATTTCCTGAA